ATCTCAAAAATACCCAAAACCTTTTACCATATAACTGCTTTTATACGTTATTATTGGTTATAGCATTTTCTTGCTTGAAATTAGACATAATTTTAAGCCTTTATTGTTAGATCAGAGCTTCTTTCATTGGAAAACCTAAACCGTGTCTAGTTTATGTGCTGAACAAAGCGTTGGCACTAGAGGGGGATAGAGAACCCACAGGTTGTACTAAACCAAGAGTAGTTCTGTTGAAACATTTTTTCATCCAAGAAATGACTTGCAAAAGAAAAACTTAAAAAAAAAATGCACTTTTTATTCCAATATAAAACTTATGAAATGGAAACCATATTTGTTAGAACAAGGTGAAGAACTTTCCTGGAAGATTTCTATGTTTAATTTCTATTCACCCAATCTTTGAAAAGCCCACAGCATTCACTAGAGGCAGATGTTTCACTCAAATTGTTGTAGCCATACTTCACACGAATATTACTCAAACTACAATGCAGTAAATGTACTTTTTTTTTTTTTTTTTCAAAATATAACTCAAGTAAACGTACCTACTTGCTGCCCACCTGTGATTGGCACTCAGAGCTGAGAAACGAAGCAAAGCTTAAACAGATCACAAACTGATCTGTAGTTAAATCAGTTTAGTCCAGCCAGATTTATTTAGGTCTAATAGTTATTAAAGTAGTGTGGATCTAAGATGGTAAAAAGATAAGAGCAAAAATGATGACATAGCTCATTGTTTTGCTAGATGAACTGAAAACAAGTTTGATATGTATGAAAAGTTCATAGTGGCTTCTGTTGGCCAGAGCGCCGCTCTTTAATAGACTTGATGGTGGTTTATTCAACCATTAATTAGGGTTATGAGTCCTTTCCACTGAGTTAGTCGTCCTTCGTTATCTGCATTAGCATAGTCTCACTGAAATGTAAGGAAAATCCAACCTCTAATCTGTGTATCTGTGTATCAGTACCTCAACAATTAGAACTTTTTTTTTTTATTTCAACTTTCCTTCCTTTGGTAGCTCAGACACTGATCTAGCAATCCATGACTTCCTGTTCCTGATATATCTGATGCGAAACAGATAAACTGTAAACACTCCAGGCAGGTGTGCTGCTTAACAAACGATCTAGCTGTTTAAAGGCTTGGTGGGGCATCCATGATGCTGTGGGCCTGCTTCATTTTAGAAGACTCTAGAACCACAGTGTGGTTTCTCCCGCCTACAGGTACTGGTTTCATTGCTAGACATTTAAAAGAAAGATCTTGTGAACTGAACCAGTAATCTGAAAACATGAAAAAATGAGAGAAAATGGCCAGAAATTTAGATGAAGAAGAGTTACTACTCAAAGTTGAGACCCTTCTGTTGGCAGCAGCCTTAGAGCTGAGAGCTAGAAACTGGTGGTTGTTGAAAGGGTGTGGTATAAAACCATTCCATAGGTCAGGTAAATTTCCACTCAGGTGAGCGGTGCCCTCTGTTTGCCCTGAATGACTGAAACTATTTACATTTAAGGACGATGATGACATTTATGCCTCGTGCCTTTAAGAGTGATGTAACGTCCACCAGAAGCCATAAAAGTTGGGGACATTTTAGCTCCTGGCAGAATCGAACCTCCACCTCACATCGTCTCAGGTAAGAAACCCTAACACCTGTAGGGTATTTTAATGATTGACCTCTTATTTCTTAGCATTATTCTAACACCTAATATGGATTGTTTCATAACACCTGCTATTAAACTTTAGCTAAAAAGAAGCAGCTTTGTTAAAGCCAGATTAAACTTTTTTTTTTTTTTCCAAAAAAGGGCCAAGAGAAGATCAGAAATGTTGAGTCTGAACATAAATGTAATAATATATGTGAAAAGGTGTTAGCATTCCTGTTAAAACATCAGATTTTTTGTTTATCATAATTACAATAGGGGGTATCTTGTGTAAAAATAAACTTAGAAAAACCACATCTGTTAAACATCTGCGCTGAATTGATCAGAAAGGTTTAAAAACAAAATAATATTTTCCTATTTGCTGCTGATGGGTCGATGACACAGCAGGCAGTTTATTAAGCCTAATTTGAATAATCCAAATAATTTATGACATGTGGAACTGTCTTATTGAATCAGTTTACCAGGATTACATTTTTCCAGACTTAAATACTGTAAATTATTTTATGTTTTACAAACCAAAGCTTTGGTGATAGCAGAAAATAATCCAGCACTGAACAGGCTGTTGTATCATAGGACAGAGGTCAGCAGCCTTCACAACCCCGAGAGTCTGTTTTGATTTCGTTCCAGCTAAACTAAACTAGTTTAGAGCCACAAATAACATGAATCTTTGATACAAAGCTGTTTTTATGTAACCGCACAGTTCCAGTTTCTATAACAATTCAGTTTACAAATAAAATAAGGCTGAAAAAGCACATGTTGGCAATGTTTGGACAAAGAATTATTTGGAAAAAATATATCTACACTTTAAGTGTCATTTTTTTTTTTTTGTTAAAATGATAGCGTACACTATAGGAAAAAAACAGAAAAAAATTATGAAATTAGAGCCTACAGCCACTATAAAACTACAAAAATGTTCCTTTATAATATATTTTTTTTTTTTTTAGTCTGTTTAAATTTAAATTAGTTGCAACAGTCATATGACTATGTTATTCTGCTTTTTTTTAATAAATGTAAAGTTTTTTGCGAACGTAAAGTTAGAAAGCATATTTAATCGTTTAATAACTTGGAATATTTTTGTTTTTAAACTAAAAAATCTGCATCCCATTAATTTCAATAATCATTTTTAATAGTAGTTTTACCCCATACTCCTGACCTTAATAATACAAGATCTCAGGCGTTTTTTTCATAACGTGTTCACGCTGAGTGCATCTTTTCTGAAACGCTGAGTCATAACTCCATCATCTCTCCCTGTGCATGTCGTCCTCCATGTTGACCTTTCATCAGTGTGTTTTTGTCACATCAGCTTCACCAATGGACCTGGCATACATGCTTCTTTGTCTTCGGTGTGGCTGTGTTTGTCTCTCTGGATACACATTTAGTATTAGTTATTTTTTAAAACATCTTTTTATTTCTTTAAAGTTCTGGAAACCATTAGCTAGAGTCAAAAGTCTACAAACGTGCAGCAAAGAGCTAAGGATGCTGCAAATAGCTCCACAGACTCACGAGTGATGTCAAATCTAAAAACACACAATCGACTGCGACACAATACACAAGAAAAATGCTGCAATCACAGAAAAGAGAAAACAAATTCAAACAAAAGCGAACCCCTGCTGCAAACTTGCCCCCACAAAACAGAAGTACCTTAAACCCCAAACCACTAGGGGGCGCTCTTCCACCAAGCCTGATGAGACGACAGCATTTTTACCTCCCTAAATATGCTGCTGTAAATATGTTGCTAACGGCAACGTGTTTCAAAACACAAATGTAGGAAAAAAATACCCTCTCTTGCTTGCTTTCTTTCGAACCTGTTCTTAGCATCCTGTTAAAGAAGCCTTTCTCAGCGATTAGTTTCTCAGTTGAACATTTTTGCTCCCGTCATAGTTTTTGAATCGCATAATTTTTTTCTTTTGCAGTCTTTCCTGTCATACTTGTTTAATGTTTGTGTTTCTAGGTGTTTGGGTTTGCATCATTCATGCGTTTGAGGCTCTTTTTTCTGTTTCAAGCTCTTTGGTTTGCTGCAAGTTTGCTGTCCAGAAGGAATATCTTAAAAGAAGTCAATTTAAAGAATCATGGGGGAAAAAAACATCTTAGATAAGGACAGAAAAATCCTGTTGACCGCACCCTGTACTTTACACAAGAAAGAATTTGTTAAAACATACCAGGTGTGTAGCAAGTACATTGTGCAACTGGTATGTAGGGTTTAGGTCTTGATACTTATAAACACTGGAGATAACTGAAGATACAGAACTACGGAAGAGGATTAGGGCCACTGAAAAAAATTTTAAAAGCTCAACTGATTTTAAAATTCTATTTCATTATGAGAAAAAACTCAGAATTCTGACTTTAATCTCAGAATTTTGGATCTTAATGTAGATGGGCACCATGAAGGAAGAGATAAGGGAGAGCTCAGCTTCACTGACAAAGATGTGAGTTGTTTTGGAGGGCCTGTTACAAATTGGTGGAAAATTACGGAATTAGGCGACTTTTTATGTGATGCTATTTAACACAAAGATGCTATTTAATTAATGGGAGAGCAGAAGGTGATTAAAACAAGAGAGCTAGTTTAGTCTTCAAAAGAGACAGACAATGGCTTGATGCTACCATGTTTGTCAGAATTCAGTCCAAATTCTGAGATTAAAGTCGGAAATCCGAGATTAAAGTCAGAATTCTGAGATTAAAGTAAGAATTCTGAGATTAAAGTAAGAATTCTGAGATTAAAGTCAGAAATCTGAGATTAAAGTCAGAATTCTGAGAAAAAAGTCAGAATTCTGAGATTAAAGTCAGAAATCTGAGATTAAAGTCAGAATTCTGAGATTAAAGTCAGAATTCTGAGATTAAAGTCAGAAATCTGAGATTAAAGTCAGAATTCTGAGAAAAAAGTCAGAATTCTGAGATTAAAGTCAGAAATCTGAGATTAAAGTCAGAATTCTTAGAAAAAAGTCAGAATTCTGAGATTAAAGTCAGAAATCTGGGAAAAAAGTCA